AATTTCTTTGAAGGTGCAGCACCCATTGGAGGAAGCCTAGGTTTTCTACTGGGCTTGCCAGCAATAGCACTGTCCCTGGGATCAGATGGGGAGGGAGGATTTGGAGCTGCAGAGCCAGACGTGTTCCCTGCCTGCCGCAGATGGTAGTTGGGGAGCTAAGCTGGGAGTTCTTCCTGTCCTCTCTGTGATGAGTTCACCAGCTGGTATTAGTATGGGGTTCGGCAAAGTATGGCCTGTGAACCAAGAATGAGTTTTGCACTTTTAAAAGGTTGTAAAAGAAACCAAAAACCACCCAGAACACAAAGAAGGTGTGAACGAGACTGCATGTGACTTGCAAAGCCTGAAATACTTACTATATGGCCCTTTATGGGAAGTTTTCCAAGTCCTGGATACAGAGATCCACCCAGGTTCTTCGCATCTTCCTACACTTTTCTGAGCATCTTATTCCCTCATGGTCCCCAAATGGCTGCCACAGTTCCAGCCATCCTCAGGAGCCCGGACAACATCCCACCAAGGAAGAGGGTGCATCACGAGGAAGACTTCTCCCCGTAGTCCACTTGCTCCCAGGTCCCATTGGCCAGGATTTGGTAGGCAGAGGGTTGTGAAAAATTGACACATACAGAATGGCAAAGAGAATACTGTGATGGGAGAAGCCCAGGAGTTGAGGAACACAGAGAAGGCACTTTACTTGGAGGAGAGAGCAGCAAAGAAGGCTTCCTGGAGGTGGTGGCATCAGCACAAAATAGAAATTGGCCAGAGAAAGGGGTGGGGAAGAGAAGGCATTGTGTTGCAAATAGAATAGTAGTTCTTCCATCCCCTCCCCTCCCCTCCTCTCCCCTCCTTTCTCTCCCCTTTCCTTCCCTTCTTTACTTCATTCATTCATTTATCCATTCAACAAACACCGAATGCCTCCAGTGTGCCAGCCACAGGGGGCAATAGCGGAGACTAAGACATAGAAGATTTCTGTTCTTATAAGCCTTCCTTAGAGGGACAGTAATAAATAAACAATTAGAGAAATGCCAAGTAATTGTAATTATTAAAGTGTAAGCGAAAGGGTGCTGTGATAGGGTCTGGAGAGTAACCTTACAGCTGTGACTCAGAAGCAAGAAGCATCAAGGCTACTTAGGATCTGCAGGCAGCTCTGGGTTGGAAAAAACTGGGTGGAGGGAGCTGGGGGGGTTTGCTTTGATTGCCCTGATGCCGGGGTCTCTGGAAGAGATTAAATCCAGGCTAGCCCAAGGTCTAGGACTCTGAGGCTGTGGAATATGCATTGTACCCAAAAGGTGGGCTGCCATGGGGACCTGTGGAGTGATACCCCTTTGTCAAGATGCCAGGGCTGCCTGGCTGCCCCATTCCCTGCCCTCCCCGCCCACCCTAGCATGGCTCCTGGAACAGCGTGGGTGGCGCAAAAGAGAGGCTCTCCGCGTGCAGAGAAGCGAGTCATGTGAGAACAGACCTCCAGCCGGGTCAGGAGAAAGCACTCCTGCGTGGAGGCGTGCTCTGCAAGTGGAGACCGTTCCTCACAGCACGATGAGATGAGAGAGGGGCGGGGGCTGCCCAGCTGAGTGATGGAAATGATGGGGGTGGGGCGTGGTACCACTGTTCCCTTGCCCAGAGAGCCAAAGCTGCTGAGCACAGGCCTCCAAGTCAGACTTTGCCACTAAGCCACTGCACAACCTCCAGCCTTCACTCTCTGCCTCAATTTTCTCCTCTGTACGATGGGGATACTTGTTTTGTTTCCATGAGTTGGTCAGAGCATATAATGTTACCACCACTTGGTAAAAAGGGTACTGTTTTTCTCCCCTTTTAAAGGCAAAGAAGGTGAGGCTCAGAGAAGGTAAGCTACTTGCCCAGGATCACACAGCAAGGAGCTGGAGGGCCAGGCAGTCAGACTTTGGAGCCTTAACCTAAACCATGCTTGCGAGGATGACGTGAGATGATGTGCGGCCTGGCACACACAATATGTCCCGTCAGCTCTTAGGAAATATGTACCCTGCCAGAGCATCAGAGCAGCCTTTGGACGAGTGTTGATTTAGCCTGGGGAAGAGGGCATTTCTCTTTATAAGTTTGTTTTTCAAAACGTAGGTACTTTTTTTTTTTTTGAGACAGAGTCTTGCTCTGTCGCCCAGGCTGGAGTGCAGTAGTGCAATCTCGGCTCACTGCAACCTCTGCCTCCCAGGTTCAAGCGATTCTCCTGCCTCAGCCTCCTGAGTAGCTGGGATTACAGGCGTGTGCCACCATACCCGGCTAATTTTTGTATTTTTGGTAGAGATGGGGTTTCACCATGTTAGTCAGGCTGGTCTCGAACTCCTGACCTCGTGGTCCACCCACCTTGGCCTCCTGAAGTGCTGGTATTACAGGTGTGAGCCACCGCATCCGGCCAAATGTGGGTAGTTAAGCCACACTCATTCCAATGGTGGATTCCAATGGGGCAGTCCCCATTGGAATATCTGTGCCTGTTGCTGGGGGCCTGCTGTGTGCTCTTGGCTTGCACTAATACCTGGGAGGTAGGTGTCATGATTTCCATCTGCAAAAGGAGGCAGCTGCAGCAGGAGAAGGCTATGTAAGGGCCCCGGGCCACACAGTATTTGTAAGTGGGTCTGGTGGCTTTGCAGAGGAAGGCTGAGGGTTTTGAGTTGGTCTCTCCTGTGGTCTTCCTGGGTAGCCCCCTTGGGGAATCACATCCCGGAGAGAAGGGAAGCATTGCCTGGGGCCCCACAGTGGTGTGGGGCAGAGCCTGGCTCTTCCTCTCCATTCAGCCTGGGCAGGAGGGCATGGAAGATGCCCTCTGAGGCCACCCAGACTTGCTGGTCACTGGAGCTGTTAGTGTGGTTGAGTTCTTGTCAGAACGGAGTACGGGAGGGAGTCCCCAAAGCCATGTTGGTGAACCTTGTGTTTTTCACCGTCAGGCTTCAGTTGGGGTTCGCGGCCAATCTACGTGTGAGTAGGAGAAAGCCAAATGGAGTGGAGGGACGGAGGAATACACGTCAAGGTCTTCCCTCCTGTGACCACATCTTCTGTACCCCATAATTCAGCAGACACAAATGGGGGTATTCACAGGGGCAGGGTAGCCCGGTGGTTAAGGGCACAGGCTTTGAGTTCCACCCAGCCGTGGGTTGTGTCACCGCTCTGCATATAGCAGATGCATGACTTGGACTAGCGATGTCATTGTCCAGAGCCTTTGTTGTCCCATCATACCCTGGAGATTACAGCCTTCCTGGGTTGTACCTGTCAGCGAGGCAGTAGGGCGCACAGTAGTCCCTTGGTGAATGACAGCTACTGTGAGTTGCGACTGTGCTTACTACAAACCCCAAGTAAAACAGTCGCACAGAATCAGGAGTGGGTCTCTTGCTTCCCTGCTATAGTACCTGGTTCATAGGAGGCACTCAAGATTAAGTGCTTGTTGAAGTCAGGACAGGAGGGAGGGAGCAAGGAAAGAAAGGCCAAAAAGGCCTTCTCATTTTTTCAATCTTTTATGATGCTCATGGAGACCTTCAAAATCTCAGAGTGTTGCTTAGGGGACAGGTCAGCCAAGTAAAGCAAACTCACTGGTCAGAAATACATTTCTTAGGGGAGGTCACGTGTTCCTCATCCCTGTTCTCATTTGCTGTTTCCCAAGAACATCTTGCTTTGTTTTGCTAACTGAGCCAACCATGTGGAACTTCAGCTACTGCGGTGGAAAGAAGCGTGTTGTCCAGCCCCAGGCAGTGTGGCCAAAGACACCAGCAGAGCTCCCCTCCTCCTTCCCAGGGGCTGATTGCCCCCAGAACCACTGGGTGGCCCAGCGAGATAAGTCAGGCAGGGGAATTAGGTGGGGGCCTGCCGCCTGCCTTTTTCCATTTTAGAGAAGGCCAGGGTTTGCAGCCTTATGAGAGGCCTGGCTCTTGGAAGAGGGGCTGTAATTACTGATTGGCTTTGCCATGCCGGGCAGGGCCACATGGCAGACTCTCCACAGCGTGGAAAATGCCGCTTTCTACTTGAGCTGAGGGTGGGGACTGATAAAGAAAGGTGATGAGTTTCTGTCTGTTTCTAGAAATATTTCCTTGCCAGATGATTTTTTTTTTTTCATCCCAAGGTTAATTAAAGACATCTTAGGTCACTAAAATGACTATTTGAAGAAGAATGTGATAAATTAACACAAGGAAATAATCTTGGGCTTGGTTTATAAATAATCTGGGATTGACTTATAAAATCAAGTCATTTCTATTTTTTTTTTCTTTTATCTGAATTCCTTTCTCTGTTGCCTTGGAAACAAGTCTCCCAAGGGGGATGTTTGGAGTCCTGTGACTTGGGTTCAAGCCTCAGTGATTCCTTCATTTCACACGGTGGGTGTGATGAGAGCCTCTTGAGGATGTTGAGTATCAAGGGTGGACAGGACATGTCCCTGCCGCCCACAGGCTCGGGACCCAGAGGGGAGGACTGATGGGTAAACCAAATTACAGCCAGGTAAACGGTGTGATTAAGTGGGGGTTACATAGGCAGGGTGGGAGCCCAGAGGTGCCCCCTGCCCCCATGGACATAAGGAAACGGGGGAGGTGTCTCAGAGGCAGGAGTATCTAAGGTGAGCTGTGGTGGACTAGATGCTGGCCAGGTGAGGACGGGGTGGAAAGGTGTCTTAGCCAGAGGGAACAGCATATGCAAAAGGCTGAACAAGAGATGGCATGGCACATTCCAGGGTGAACATCTGTCCAGTTTATCCAGGGTCGAAAGCAGCTGGGGAAACAGGTAATATGTGAGGTTGCAGACGCTGTCAAAGTTCAGATCATGCACAATTCCTGGGAGATATCAGAGAGGGCGCCTGCTGCAGATGGACCATGAGGCCTTAGGGCAGCCCTCGGTCTGGGCCTGTTTCTTTAGTTAAGTGGGAAGGTTGGCCTGGGTTGGTCCCTGCTGGTGTCCTGGTTCTGACTGTCTAGGGTCCTGTGATTCATTGGAACAGTAAGATGATAGGAATTATAATAGAAAAACGGTTATCCCTTGTGGTCACCATTTATTGAGTATTGTTGTTGTTGTTGTTTTGAGACAGAGTCTTGTTCTGTCACCCAGGCTGGAGTGCAGTGGTACGATCTCCGCTCACTGCAACCTCCACCTCCTGGGTTCAAGAGATGCTCCTGCCTCAGGCTCCTGAGTAGCTGGAACTACAGGTGCACACCACTATGTCTGGTTAATTATTGTATTTTTAGTAGAGACGAGGTTTTGCCGTGTTGGTCAGGCTGGTATCGAACTCCTGGCCTCAAGTGATCCACCCGCCTCAGCCTCCGAAAGTGCTGGGATTACAGGTGTGAGCCACTGCGCCCGGCCTTATTGAGTGTTTATTACGTGCCAGGGGCACAAATTATCTCAGTTTTTTTGTCGCAACCTTTTGAAGCGGGTGGGCCTCATGCAAGATGAGAAAACCATGACTCAGGTGATGCAGGCCTTACGCGGAAGCCCTGTGCCGTCTGCTACCTTCTGACTGACGGTGTTGCTCCATCTGAAAGAGAGAAAAAAGTAGGTTGAAGCTGAATTCATGAGCCAGCCCTTCCCACATGTAGTCCTGGGAATTTGTCACCAGGCCAGTTGACAAGAAAGGGAAACTAATGCAGTTGGCAACTGGGCAAGCCCTTCTGAAGGCTTTTCCTGACCCTCACAAGAGGCCATGGGGAACAACCCAGATAACTGTAGAGAAATGAGGTGGTGAAGTGCTTTGGGATCAGACAGGTCTGGATTCAAGTCCCAGAGCCCTCTTGCCAGCTCAGTGACCTTGGGCAAGTCCCCCCCCCCCTTTTTTTTTGTTTTGAGAGGGCGTCTCGCTCTGTCACCGTGGCTGGAGTGCAGTGGCGCGATCTCGGCTCACTGCAACCTCTGCCTCCCAGGTTCAAGTGATTCTCCCACCTCATCTTCCCAGGTAGCTGAGACTACAGGCATGTGCCACTGCGCCCAGCTAATTTTTTGTATTTTTAGTAGAGACAGGGTTTCACCATGTTAGCCAGGATGGTCTGAAACTCCGACCTTGTGATCCGCCTGCCCTGGCCTCCCAAAGTACTGGGATTACAGGTGTGAACCACTGCACCTAGCCCAGGGCAAGTCCTTTGGCTCTTTAAACCTCATTGTTCTCTGCAAAATGGGGAACATCACTAACAGGACTTACCCTTAAGGGTTGTTTTGAGGGTTAAATGAGGTGAGATGTGCGAGTAACTATTTCCTAGTATACAGTAAATCCTCCATTAGTGGTTGTTATTATTTCCACTGTACCACCTTCTTTTTTGTTTTGTTTTGAGAAGGAGTCTCGCTCTGTTGCACAGGCTGGAGTGCAGTGGTGCAGTCTTGGCTCACTGCAACCTCCACCTCCTGGGTTCAAGCGATTCTCCTGCCTCAGCCTCCTGAGTAGCTGGGATTATAGGAACCTGCCACCACAGTAGAGATGGGGTTTTGCCATGTTGGCCAGGCTGGTCTTGAACTCCTGACCTCAGGCGATCCGCCCACTTCAGACCCCCAAAGTGTTGGGATTACAGGCGTGAGCCACCGCTCCCAGCCCCACCTTCTTTATTAATATAATATTAGTGTACCTCTTAGTCTAGGATGCATAGTCTTGGAATGTCCAATCTTTTAGGAAGCAGGATGTGAGGAGGGTCATATAAATGGGACCTCCTGTGGGAGATCTGGAAAAAGCTGAAGGTTGTCTTGGAGGCGGAAGAGGAGGGGAAGGCAGTGGTAGGCAGGGATGCCACATGTCCAGAACTCTGAGGGCAAGACTGAACGTGCCCCTACTTTCTGGCCTTTGCACGTGGTGTTCTCGCTTTCAGCCCTCTTGGAATACTCCTATTTATCCTTCAAAACCCCACCCAGATACCCTTCTTTTAATTTTAAGTCTTTAATAAGTGATCATTTCCCTGTTCTTTCCTCAACCTTTGAATTTCTTGGTTGGGGCTCACCCCTCCGTGTTATGTTCCCATAGCATGTTATTCACTTGTTCATCAGAACCCTTGGCAGTTGTTCATTTCTTTTCCTATTTCTTTCTTCCACCAGACCAAGGATTCTTGAAATTATACATGTTTGTATTAGACTTTGGGGAGAAAATGGGATAGCCTCAGATTTGAGTTGAACTTTGGGGACACCTTCCACCCTTAATGGCTACGAATCAGATATACTGAGCTCTTCAGAGACTGTAGGTCCCCTCAAACCCAACACTGAGCTTGCAGAAAGTAACTGTCTGGGGAATGTTTGTTGAATGAATGAATGAATGAATGACATATTCTGATTTCTTCTTCCTCTCTCTCTCTCTGTCTGTCTCTCTTTCTCCCCCTCCCCCTTCCCCCTCCCTTCTTCCCTCCCTCCTTCCCTCCCTTCCTCTCGCTCTGCTGCCCAGGCTGGAATACAATGGCGTGTTCTCAGCTCATTGCAACCTCCACCTCCCAGGTTCAAGCAATTCTCCTGCCTCAGCCTCCCAAATAGCTAGGATTTCAGGTGCCCACCACCACTCCCAGCTAATTTTTACATTTTTAGTAGATGTGGGGTTTCACCCTGTCAGCCATGCTGGTCTCAAACTCCTGACCTCAGGGAATCTACCCGCCTCAGCCTCCCAAAGTGTTGGGATTACGGGCATGAGCCACCACACCTAGCCCATTTTCTGATTTCTGAAATCACACGTGCTTGTCTAGAAATGGCGATCTCTGTGCTTCGCCTCACATTGTAGATGAAATTCCCATTTACTTCCTGGATCTCAGCAGCTTCTCCAGCATTTTTTGGATTAATTATGTAAGAAAGAGATGGTTTTCTTTCTTTTTTGATGCCCAAAACATCCCAAGAGTTTCCTGGAGAGAACAGAAGACTTTGCAGAAAAAGTCCTCTGGGGGAGAATGCTTGCGCTGCCCCAGTTTTCAGGAAGCGAAGCTTTTTATAGTCACACTTGCAGACCGCTCTGTACCTAAAGGAAGCCAGGAGGGAACAAGCAGGCATCTGGCTTTGTAGCTTACTTCTGCACCCCTCTCCCCTTTCTGGAAGGAGGCAGAACTGGATGATCCCACCTGCCATTTGGTCTCTGCTTTTCTGGGCGCTTGTCGCCATCCAGACTGATTTGGTGAGGACCAGGATATATAGCTTGTCACAGGTGTGAGACGGGGCGGGGTGGGGGGTGCCAAACTCCACCACTTAATAGCTGTGTGACCTTGGGTTGGTCATTTCACTTCTCTCTGCTGCAGTTTTTCCATCTGTAAAATGGCAGTGATAATCATATTAATGGTATCAGCCTCCTTTCATTGTTGGGAGGAGCTGATGGTGATGCAGTGTAATGCCTGGCACATAGTAAGTGCTCAGTTAGCAGTGGTGATGGTGGTGATGGTGGTGGTGGTCTTCGGTCAGGTTCCCTAGAAGCAGAGACTGACATGAGGATTCTGGTGCAGTGATTCATTGAGGGAAAGCTCTCAAGCGAAACCCATAAGGAAGAAAGGGCAACAACTGGGACAGGGGACAAAGCTAAGTACAGATGTGGTTTCAGCTGAGCCTCAGCCTCAGCCCAGTCCCATGGGCACCCCAGAGTGTGAATTGCATCACTGAGTTGGTGGTGCCTTAAGGCAAGGAGACCTGGGTGTTGTGTTCTGTATTGGTCAGTCATTGGCTGTGGGCATCTCGGCATAGCCTTCAGTAAGGGCAGTTTCCAGAGGAGGGTGGAGCTCTGAACCTTTTGTAACCAGCATTCACGGCAGCTGAAGGGTGTGTGTGCACCTTCTAGAAAAGGGGATCTTAATCAGGGGCGGTACCCGCTGCATCGATGAAAATGATGAGTTCAATGACTTCATCCCTGAAAACCAGAGAAGTCAAGTCACTTGCTCACCGTCACACAGCTAGTAAGAGCTATAGCTAGGTCTCCAAACCCTTAATCATGACGCTATACTTACTTAGCAAGGACGGGGTGGGTCTAGAATAAGGGAAGTGAGGCGCTCACATAGGGCACAAAATTGGGGGACATCAAGAAAAGTCACTGATCACTATAAATAATATTTTAATTGTGTTAAAAAAATTAAAATTAATGCAAAAATTTACGATGAGAAAGGAACCAGAACTATAAATAAAAACAGGATTAGTGTTACTTATTTTTTTCCTTTTGCGTCTGGCCCAGCATGGCTTGCACCACACTGAGCAAGTCCCTTTTTGAACAATTAGGTTCTTACACCTTTTCATCATTATCTATGTGACTGTGATAAACATTCTTAGAGCAAAATGTTTGTATATTATTATTGTTATTTCCAAAGGAATTCCTGTTTGTGGAACTGGATCACTAACTATAGGGTCAAAAGTTAGACACAGCGCCCCCCTCCCCCTTTTATTATGAAAATGTTCAAACATATAGAAAAATTATATAGGAAAACACCCATCAGCTAGAGTCTATGAAATTTGCTATGTGGCCAGGCGCGGTGGCTCACGCCTGTAATCCCAGCACTTTGGGAGGCCGACGGTGGCAGATCACAAAGTGGGGAGATTGAGACTATCCTGGCTAACACGGTGAAACCCTCCCCCCATGACCAGGTGTCTCACAGGAAACTTAAAAATACAAAAAAATTAGCCGGGTGTGGTGGCGGGCGCCTGTAGTCCCAGCTACTTGGGAGACTGAGGCAGGAGAATGGCGTGAACCCAGGAGGTGGAGCTTGCAGCGAGCCAAGATTGCACCACTGCACTCCAGCCTGGATGACAGAGCAAGACTGCATCTCAAAAAAAAAAATTTTTTTTTGCTATGTGTGCTTTATTAAAATGTAGCCATCCATCCATGGCACTTTTTTTTGTTTTGTTTTGTTTTGAGACAGGATCTCACTCTGCTGCCCAGACTGGAGTGCAGTGGTGTGATCACAGCTCACTGCAACCTTAACTACCCAGGCTGAAGCAATCCTTCTACATTAGCCTCCAGAGTAGCTGGGACTACAGGGTTCAAACAATCCTCCCACCTCAGGCTCCCAAACAGCTGGGATTACAGTTGTGAGCCACAGCACCCAGCACTCCATTTGTGTGTGTGTGCATTTCAAAATAAATTATTGGCTGGGCATGGTGGCTCCTGCCTGTAATCCCAGCACTTTGAGAGGCTGAGGCGGGCAGATCACGAGGTTAGGAGTTCGAGACCAGCCTGGGCAACATGGTGAAACCCTGTCTCTACTAAAAATACTAAAAATACAAAAATTAGCCGGGCGTGGTGGCGGGCGCTTGTAATCCCAAGCTACTCAGGAGGCTGAGGCAGGAGCATTGCATGAACCCAGGAGGCAGAGGTTGCAGTGAGCTGAGATCGTGCCACTTGCATGCCAGGCTGGGCGATAGAGCGAGACTTTATCTCAAAAAAAAAAAAAAGTATAGACATCAGTACATTTCAGCTGTACGTTTCAATATGCATGTCATTTACTGACAAGCCATTATTTTTTAAGACTTTTGATTTAGAGTATTAAATTTCTTACAGGAAATATATACCAGTTTTAATGTCCATCTGCTGTGGGTATATGTGTCTGTTTCACCACAACCTTGACAACACTGGGTATGATCTTTTTAAAGGTGTTTTACTTTCTACTTTGATTTAACATTTTTCCTCCTGAGGACCCCAGTGGATTTCCTACCCCGATGTCCAGATGGTCTGTTAAAAAGCTGTGTGCCATTCCAGCTCTCTAGGTATTTCTGATGTGACTTTCCTGGGACCTAGGGGAGGACTCAGCTCTTTCTCAGGTCTGTTCCTGTTTCCACCCTGGTCTGTTCCTGTTTCCACCCTGGATGTCCCGGGCCTGCGTGGTGAGGGAGCAGGGCCATGAATAGGACTTCCTGGTGTAGGAGCTCACTATGGGCAATCTGTGTGGGGAAAATGGGCAAACTTTGGAGGCCCACTTTGGATGCCAGAGGTCCTGGGACCTAGGAGGCTGCATGTGGTGGAGGGTAGAGCCAGGCACTCATGGCAGTGTGACCTGGCCCTTTGTGTTTCCTCACCTGCACGGTGGGGTAATGCTTCTGGATATATCAACATGAGGTATATAGGCTGCTGCAAGAGCCCCCCACCCCACCTTCGCCTTCAACCTTCAGTTTTCTCATGGACCATGTACCTACTTGCTTCTGGGCACTTGTATCTCTGTGATTTCTATGGGCCAGGAATTTGGGAGCAGTGTGGCTGAGTGACTGTGACTTAGAGTTTCTTATGAGGTTGTACCCAAGATATTGGCCAGTCTACAGTCAGCTAAGAGTTTGACTAGAGATGGAGCATCTGTTTCCATAGTGGCTTACTCACACGGCCGGCATGTGGTGCTAGCTGTTGGCTGGTGGCCTCAGATTCTCTCCATGTGGGTTTCTGTGTGTGACTGCTTGAGCATCCTCACAACATGGCGACTGGCTTTCCCCAGCATGACCTCAGAGAACAAGGTGGAAACCATGATGCTTTTTATGACCAAGCTTTAGAAGTCCTACACTGTCACTTCTTCTTCTTCTTTTTTTTGAGATGGAGCATCACTCTGTCACCCAGGCTGGAGTGCAGTAGCACAATCTCAGCTCACTGCAAACTCCGCCTCCCGGGTTCAAGTGAGTCTCCTGCCTCAGCCTCCCGGGTAACTGGGATTACAGGTGCCTGCCACCATGCCCAGCTAATTTTTGTAGTTTCAGTAGAGATGGGGTTTCACCATGTTGGCCAGGCTGGTCTTGAACTCCTGACCTCGTGATCCACCCGCCTTGGCCTCCCAAAGTGCTGGGATTACAGACATGAGCCACCAAGCCCGGCCCATCACTTCTTCTTTACTCTGCTAACCACACGGATCAACCTTGATTCGTTGTGGGAAGGGACCACACCAGGGTATGGATAAAAGGGGGGAAGGATTATTGATGGTCATCTTGGAGGACACCTATCAGGCATAACCTTGGTACATGATTTCACCTCTGTGGAGCTCAGTCTCCTCTGTCAAATGGGTTCATGCAAAAAAATTCATTAGTTGATTCCTGTGAATGCTTAGAATGGTGTTGGACATTTAGTTTCCTCTTAATAAATATTAGCCACCACTGTCATCCCCTGCTGGGCTCTGAGCCCTCTATTGTTAATCTCTATGCAGTGCCTGGCTCAGAGTAGGCACCCTCTGAATCTTTATTAAATCAGTGAGTGAAAGAATGAATGAGGCTGGATATGGTGGCTCATGCTTTGGGAGACTGAAGCAGGTGGATCACTTTAGTCTAGGAGTTCGAGACCAGCCTGGACAACATGGTGAAACCCTGTCTCTACAAAAATAACACACAAAAAAATTAGCTGGGCTAATGTAGCTGGGACTACACACACCTGTAGTCTCAGCTACTCAGGAGGCTGAGGTGGGAGGATCACTTGAGCCTGGGAGGCCAAGGCTGCAGTGAGCTATGATCACGCCACTGCAGTCCAGCCTGGGCAATAGAGTGAGATCCTGTATCCAAAAAAAAAAAAAAAAAAAGAAGAAGAAGAAAGAGAGAAGAGAGGGAGAGAAAGAGAATGAATAGCTGTAAAGACTAGGAATACATGGAGAAGAAAGAGATCTGTTGACCACATTGCCAGAGAATCCTTTGTGATAAACTCTCTCAAGTGAGGCCCTTTGACCAGTGTCTAGAAAACAAATATTTGTTCAAAACTGAACTGAGGTGGTGGTGGAAAGGACATAGGATGCATTCTGAGCGACCTGGGTTTCAGTCATGTACTTGGTGTCCGAAGAATAAATATTTACAGAGTCCTGACTCTGGGCCAGGTACCATGTCAGACCTGGGAAAACCTGGGGTGGGGAGCAGCTCTGGTGCATGCCCTGGCAGCATCCTTGCTGTGTGACCTTGGGCAAGCGAATCTATGTCTCTGAATCTGCATTTCTTTGTCTGTAAAAGTAGTGGGGTTGGGGGGACATGGATCCCTGCTGGAAAGAGAAACCTCCTTTAACAGGTATGCCTGACTCCAGGATCCAGCTGCTGCCCACCCCCTTCTTACAACCCCTGACATGTTTGGAATCTCCAGGCAGAGGACAGAAAACCTGCATGGGTCAGATGAGCAGGGCCTGGCCGAGGGCAGTGGGTGTTAGGGTCTAGTGGTACCCCCTACGCCTAGTACTCCAGCCCTGTAAGGGTTAAAACCCAGCTAGCTCATGTGACCTGATGTAAACCATGAATCATTCCCATTGCTCCTAGTGCTGAGCCTGCTGCCCAGGACGGGGCAGATGCTGTGCCCCGGGTTGCCATGGCAACTCCACCTGTACTGAAATACAGCCCGCCTCAGTCCTTCCTGGGGCGACCTCAGGGGCTGTCTCACCTGGCCCAGTGTTGCCTTCCAGAGAGGGAGGGAGAGACAGCTGAAAAGGAGAGAGAGGAGAGAAGCTTAGAGACAAGCAAGTGGAAGTTGAGACACAGGGAGAGGGAGGAGAGCGAGGTTGGGAAATCAACAGAAACAGACCACGAGAGGGAGACAGACTGACAGCCGACCAGAGGTCCCAAGACACTGCCTGTAACCGTAGAGGCAGAAGCCGTTTCCCAGCAGTGCTAACCTTCCCCGGGGCTGCCAGATCTCCAACATACAGGCACACACACACACGTGCACACACATGCACACACGTGCAGCCGCATTTCCTGGTGCGCTTTTGCGGTGAGGGCACAGGGGTGGGTAGGCTGGCAAGCACTTGAAGTTGCCATCAGCCCCGAGGGACCGTGAGCGAGTTGGGACTTGGGGGAGAAAAAAATGGGGGCGGACGTCAGCTCCCTGGGCGGCCACCGCCACCGCCTCCGCCTCCCCGAGGCCCCTCCTGCATTCCTGGGCAGCGAAGCCCCTCGCTAAGACGGGGGCTGATGTCATCCCGGGCTGCTCAGCCAGGGGACCCGGGGGCCCTGGTGGCTGCCTCCGGAAGTGAGCTAGCCGCCTGCCGGCCGACAGGTTTGGAATCTCCAGCCAAAGGACAGAAAACCTGCATGGGTCAGGTGAGCGGGGTCTGGCAGAGGGCAGCCGGGCAGGGGGCAGCAGGGCGCGGCAGCTTGCCCACCGGAACCTTCCGGGGTGCACCTCAGGGGGGCTGCCTACCTGAAGGGAAGTGAGGACAAGGGTGCCCAAGGCCGCCCCCTCCACCCACCCCCACCCCCCGCCTTTCGGGGACCGTCACGCCCTGGAGTGAGTGCAGCCGGCTTGTTCCTCAAAGCTCCTTGTCTCCGCCGATCAGCTGGGTGAGCCCTGGAACTGGAACCTGGACTGCCCAGTGTGTTGACTTTACAACTCCGCTGGGGTGGACTCGCAGCCTGGCACTTAGCTGCCTCTTAATTCTGAGCGGCACCCGTGGATGCAGCCGGCTGCTGGCTCGGGGATGTTTACTTACCCTTGCTTTGCCTGAAGAGAGCTGCTGTTTTTAAATTTTTTTCCTCCAAGCAAGCCCAGAACTTCCATGAGCAAAAGAGTCAGAAGAGGGGAGAGGACACTGGCGTTTTAATTGCTCTCGCCCTCCCTAACCTCCTCCTTCCCTCTCCTCCTGGCTGGCCCCATGGATTACCTGGGAGATAAACTCACAGTGGCTCAGACCCACATGACCCAGTGGATGGGCACCGTGAGGAGGTCCTTCCAGGAAGCCCTCAATTTGGTGACCACCACGGTGGGCCATGAACGGACGAGTGCAGAGTCGGGCAGCCGGACCCCCTTCAAGCGTACCTCTTCCTTCCGACACCTGGCTTCCCGGAGTCGGGAATCCTTCCGCCGCTTCTCTGCTCGCAGCCAACAGAGATTTTCTTCACTGAGGAAAAGGCACACAGATTCGGAGCCGCCAGATATTGTAAGCTTATTATGTTTTAAAAAATATTAAAACAACACTGAAAGCTCCTCCCCTCCAGTCCTCCCAGGGAGGGGGTCTCAGACATCAAACCCGGGAAGTTACTGCTCCCAGAATAGTTGTCAAAGCCCAGGCACTTCCTGTCCCCTGTACCTGGGAAAGAGGCACGTAGCAATAATTCCTCTCTCTCCCGAAGTCGGTCAGGAAATTTTTGCTGGATTCGACGTCTGTGTGGACAGGGCCAGCGCATGAGTTTGGCTGAATTTGCCGGTTGATTTATGTTTAAGTGTGAACACCCCAGCTCCCGACACGAAAGCTCATCCTTCCCCCTATTTTTAGGGTGGATTAGTGGCACCTGCCTCATCTCCTCTCACCCTCCTAGGAAGCACAAGTGGCCATGTCATGTGCACGCTGAGTTGTAGTTTTTGTCGTTCTACCGAGCTTTCGTTGAATTGCCGAGGAAAGGGCCTTAGGAGACCGAGATGGTGGGCGAATTTGCCCGCTGGCCGTGAACCTGGGGCTTGGTGTGAGTGGGCCAGGGCGGCAGGCCTTTATTTCTTACTCAGGCAGACTCAGGAGGGCTTGGATTGGGACAGCAGGGTGGAATGACAGCTAATGATGAAAACCTCGGCCTGTGTCCTGCTGGGGGACAGGGCAGAAACAATCATAAGGTCCTTATGGTGATTTGGAGAGGTGGGATTGGGCCCAGAGAGCGAAAGTGCCTACCATGGGGAAGCACAGTGAGCGAGTGGCAGAGCCAGGTCTGGAACCCCAGGCTCTGACCTCCCCATTCACGGCTCTTTCCAGTCCAGCTCCCGGCAGATGTTCTCCCCAGACCCTCCCGATTACTTCAGGGCTGCCCACATCACTGACCAAGCGTGAGCCTAAAGAGAGGGCCTGCCATTTTCACATAGGAGACTTCTACCACCTGACTGTGTTGGCCCAGTTTGTGGGAGCACCTGAGGACAGGCGAAGGGCTAAGCCAGCCCCTTTTTCTGGGTTCCTCCTAGCCAGGAGTGCTGTAGTCATTAAGGGACTCAGCATTTAGGGAGGAGCCCTGAGCTGGCCCTCCTTTCACTCGAGGTGGCAGGGCTCACAGCTGCCCTGCCAGGTGCAGGGGCTCAGTATCCCCTCTGCTGGCCCAGAGGTGTGGTGACTCACCCCAGGCCATACAGCAGCTGGAGCAGGCAAGTGCAAATGCAAGGCAGGAGCCGAGCACTTGGGCATGACATGTGTCTCGTTCACAGGACGTCTCCTTCACAGTGGGTCTGTGCTCCTTTGTGGCCTTGGACAAATTAGTGGGGCTTAAATTTACGAGACAGATTCCCCAACCTCTGAAAGGTGTGACTTGGCACAGGGAAAGAAGGCCCCTCATTCCTTCTGTCTCCCTCTGTGTGTATCTCTGTCTCTGTGATGTGTCTCTCTGCCTTGCTCTGTCTCTGTTGGTTTCTCTGTAAGTCCTATTCTCTCTCAGGGTAGGGGGTTGGTGACAGGCAGGCTCTGTTGGTATCCCTCTTTCCCCACCCTGGGGAGTGGTGTGACCATGGGCATTGGCCTGAATCCCCTAGGCCTCTTCCTGTGTTACAGGTTGGTGCCACCGGAGCAGCTGCCTCTCCAGCTGGTTGAATAAATGAAGTTGGGTGGTGCAGAGCCATTCTCTGTTGCATTGGGATGCCACCAAGAGTGTAAATACATGCTAAATACATTCAAGCTTCAGGCTGCTTCCCATGTAGCCACACTACTGTGTGGCAGGCACCAGCTGGCCTTGGCCTTGACAGCTTGAATCAGACTCCTGGCTGAGGAGCCCTGACCCATTCTTAAGCCTCAGTTTCTTCCTGTGTCCAATGAGGAGAACCAAGTGCTAGGTATGAGATTGAAGCAAGCCCCCGGCACAGTGCCAGGCACACAGTAGCTGCACACTTGTGAGTGCCCTCTCTCTGTTGCTTGCCTAGACATTCTGCCTGAGCAGGATAAAGGCAGAGTTGGGATAGGAACACGTGCAGTCTTGAAGAGAAGTCAACGAAACGCAAAGCCAGGGACCCCCTGCCTGGGGTTGAGTCCTGGCTGTGCCGCGTCCCAGCTGTGTGACCTTGGGCAGACTCCTTCCTTCTCTGTGTCTTGATTTCCTCCTCTGTGAAATGGGGATGATCGTGCATTGATGTGCTGGTAAATGCGTGGTGGGCGTGGCTGTTCTTAGCTTGTGGTGCTTAAAAATTAGTTCTTGCAGCAACCAAACCTTTCCTCTCAAACTGTCCCTTCAAAGATTTTCAATGAGGTGGAAAACCCACATACGCCCTTTTTACTCAGGGACTTCACTTAAATATTCGTTTTATGGGAAGAAACTTTTTAAAGCAACAGACAATGACTTAAGAGTTTGGGACAACAGCAGTATCCGTGGCTGGGGCTGGGAGGGGGCAGGATTTTAGTCTTTCCGACCTTGTACGTGATTTATCTAAATAAGCCATTCATTTCATCCTGGTTCCTGCCTCCGGCTTGTATTTACTCAGAGCAGTGTGGAAGAATCTACTGCGGGCATAAAACAACCCTCAAAGGCGTGCCCTGAAATGTTTTCTAAAGCCAGCCTTGAAGTAATTTGCTAATGGCCTGCCTGCCTCTGTGTCCAAGGAATAAAAGGGGGAAAGAGGGAAAACAAATGCTTTGTCTCTGAGCCACAAAGGCAGGAAGAGGCACGTTTGTGCTGCAGTCCCATGTGAGCCTGAGAAACATGCCTGGTACGCCAGGTTTAGCCGAGGAGACAAGGTGGACTCCAGTTAGAGGCCAGACAGAAAATTCCAGAACCCAGGAACAATGGCAATGGCACAGGGGCCAAGACTGCAATAAAAGTGGGAGGTGGGGGGGTGCCTGAGGCCACGGGGTGCCGCCCCAAGAGGGCTTTGGAGTCAGACAGACTTGGGCCTGAGTCTCAGCTCACCACCACGTGCAAACTGAGTGACCCTGGGCAACTTAAATCACCTCTTTCAGCTTCAGTGCCCTCATCTGAAACATGGAGATTCAGCCAGGACTTGTCTGGTGGGTGGTTCAATGGGACAGAGTAGACTAAGAGCCAGCACAGTCCTGGCATGCAGGAGGTGCTGAATAAATGTTCTTTCCACGTTGCCTTTTGGGGGGCTCAGGCTGTAACGTGAGTCCTACCTTCCTAGAAGGCTAGACTGGTGCCTTAGGGAAGCAGAGTAAGAACCTAATCGACCTGTATTTGTATTTACTGTGTGCAGGGCTCCATGCTAAGCATCAGGTGCATATAATTTGTGTGTCTTCATTAATTCACTCATTTTTTTCTTTCAACCAGTATTTTTATTTATTTATTTATTTAGAGACAGAACCTCAGTTTGTCACCCAGGCTGGAGTGCAGTGGCACAATCTCGGCTCACTACAACCTCTGCCTCCCAGGTTCAAGTGATTCTCCTGCCTCAGCCTCCCCAGTAGCTGGGATTACAGGCACCCACCACCACACCGGCTAATTTTTGTATTTTTGGTAGAGACAGGGTTTCACCATGATGACCAGGCTGGTCTCCAACTCCTGACCTCAAGTGATCTGCCTGCTTCAGCCTCCTAAAGTGCTAGGATTACAGGCGTGAGCCACTGCGCCCAGCCTATTTTTATTTATTTATTTTGAAGACAAGGTCTTGCCCTGTCACTGGGGCTGGAGTGCAGTGGCATGATCCTAGCTCACCACAGCCTCTATCCCCTGGGTTCAAGCCATCCTTTTGTCTCTGGAGTAGCTGGGACTACAGGTTTGTGCCACCACACCCAGCCATTTTTTTTCTTCTGTGTAGCAACAGGATCCTGCTCTGTCGCCCAGGCTGGTCTTGAGCTCCTGGCCTCAAGTGATCCTCCCACCTCAGCCTCCCAAAGTGCAGGGATTGCAAGCATGAGCCACTGTACCCCGCCCCCTCCACCAGTATGTATGTATGTATATATGTATGCATGTATGTATGTACTCTGTTGCCTGGGCCGGAGTGCAGTGGTGTAGTTTTGGCTCACCGCAACCTCCGCCTCCCCGGTTCAAGCAATTCTTCTGCCTCAGCCTTCTGAGTAGCTGGGACTACAGGCACCCACCACCACGCCCGGCTAATTTTTGTATTTTCAGTAGAGACAGAGTTTCACCGTGTTGCCCAGGCTGGTCTCAAACTCTGGCCTCAGGTGATCCACCCACCTCGGCCTCCCAAACTGCTGGGATTACAGGTGTGAGCCACCACACCTGGCCCCCTCCACCAGTATTTACTGAGTACCTACCACAACCCTGGTGCAGGAGAAATAGCTGTGAGCGAAAGAGACAAAACTCCTGCCTTCACAGAGCTGTCTTCTAGTGAGGCTGATAACAAAACACATCAGAATGTAAATGTGTCATATATGTGCTGCAAATGAGGGAACTACCTTAAAATATCAAGGGTCTGTCTGTAACCTCAAACTATTGCTGTATATCAGAGTTTCTCAGCCTCAGCTCTAATGATATCTTGGGCTACATAATTCTTTATGGCTGTGGGGGTAAGGGGTAGAGTCTGTGCATTGTAAGCTTTTCCCTGGTTCCTACCCACTGGAAGCCAGTAGCATCCCACAGTTGTGACAACCAAAAATATCTCCAGGCATTGCCAAGTCCCTTCGGGGCAGAATCACAATGCCCCTCCCAGCCCCCATCCAGGTTTGAGAACACTGCTGTATATAATGTGGTATGGGGCACAACAATTGTAGCTGGGGTATTCTCCCAATGACTTAAATATGGGGAGGAGGGCAGGGATCCCACATCCACTGAGCCTCTCCTACTTGCCGGGAACCACACAGCTGCCCCTATGGGTATAGCACCATACTTTGCGAATGGAGAAATCTGAAGTACAGAGAGGGGAAGTCACAGGCCTGGGGCCACACAGCTGGGGATCTGTGAAGTGGGGACTCCATCCAGCATGTGTCGGCCTTGCTGGGAGCATGACCACGCCCTGCACTGGGGATTCACTATTAAACGTCGGCCCCAGAGCTGAGCATTCAGTCCTCCAGCCCAAGGCTGAGTGGGAGTATTTGCTTCTGTGTTAATTATGGACTGGAATGGAGGCTTAAAATATTCAGCAGGGCTCAGCATCTCCCCCCACCAAACACACACACACACACACACACACACACACACACACACACACAGCTTTAGCAAGTGGGGGAGAATTGAAAGGAAAGGATGTATAGGACTCCTGCCTTTGGAAGCCCCATTTCATCCCCATCTCCATCAGTGTTCTCTCTGTACTGGGGTCCTCTGGCTCTGTAACAAATTATCACAAACGTGGTGGCTTAAAGTAACATAACTTCATCTCTCACAGTTCTGGAGTCCAGAAGTCCAAAATCAAAATGTCAGCAGTCGGCCGGGTGTGGTGGCTCACACCTGTAATCCCAGCACTTTGGAAGGCCAAGGCGGGCGGATCACCCGAGGTGAGGAGTTTGAGACCAGCCTGGCCAACATGGCAAAACCCCGTCTCTACTAAAAATACAAAACTAGTTGGGTGTGGTGGCACATGCCTGTAATCCCAGCTACTCAGGAGGCTGAGGCAGGTGAATTGCTTGAATCCAGGAGGCGGAGGTTGCGGTGAGCCGAGATGGCGCCATTGCACTCCAGCCTGGGCAACAAGAGTGAAACTTTGTCTCAAAAAAAAAAAAATATCAGCAGTTGACTCCTCCCTCCAGAGGCTTTAGGGGAGCATCTTTTTTTTTTTTTTTTTTTTTACCTCTTCCAGCTTCTGGTGGCTCCAGGCATTCTTTGACTTGTGGCCATGCCACCCCAATCTCTGCCTCTGTCTTCATGTCACTATCTCCTCTGTCGCCTCCTCTCCTGTCTCTCTGATGAGGACACTTGTGCCTGAACATAGGAGCCTCCTGGATTATCTAGGATGATCTCACCTGGAGACCTGCAACTTCATTTCATCTGCAAAGGCCCTTTTTCCAAGTGAGGTCACATTTGCAGTTTCTGGGGGCTAGGATGCAAACATAACTTTTGTTTTTTGTTTTTTGTTTGAGACAGGGCCTCCTGTCACTCAGGCTGGAGTGTACTGGTGCAATCACGGCTCACTACAGCCTCAACTTCCCAGGCTCAGGTGACCCTCCCACCTCAACCTCCCAAGTAGCTGGGACTACAGGTGTACACCACCACACCTAGCTAATTTTTTTGTATTTTTAATACAGACAGAATTTTACCTTGTTGCCCAAGCTAGTCTCAAGGGATCTACCTACTTCAGCCTCGCAAAGTGCTGGGATTACAAACGTGAGCCACTGCGTCCAGCCGACATATCCTTTTAGGGGCCACTGTTCAACTCCCCACACACTCCCCACAGCTTACACTGTGGCCCCTCCCATCCAGTCCATTCTCTCCCCAACAGCCCAAGAGATCAAGTCATTCCCCTGCCTCACTCCAGACTTAGATGCCCAGTTTTCCTGTGCGACCTGGCCCCGCCTCCCTGCTGACATCAGCTCTACCTCTGTCCTTTATGCCCACTCTGCCCTTGCCACTCTGACCTCCTGCTCTTCGCCAGTTACCCCCTGCTCCTTCCAGACCTCAGGACTTTGCCATCACCATTCCCTCTGCCTGAAATGCCCTTGCCCTCTCTTCACCTCTGCAAAGAGGTTTCCCGATGTTCCAGGCTGTGGTGAACCCTCTGCATTTCCCTGCACCCATCCTTCTTCATTTCTTCCTGGGACCTATCTCAGTCTGTACTTATTTCATTTCACTTGTTCCCTGGTTTATTCTCTGACTCCTCCACTAGGAGGTAAGGTCCACGAGGGCCAGGGCTTTGGCTGTCCTGGTTCACCTTGATATTGCCAGTACCCGGAACAGTGGCTAGGAGCTCACAGAGTATCTGCCTTCCAGAAATCCACTGTCGTTCATTCCTATGTCCACCCTGGGACACCATCTCCATATTATACATGGGTAAACTGAGGCCTGGAGAGGATAAGTGACACAGCCCCGGTGTACACCTCCTAAGAGATGACAAGTGTATGGCCACACCATCCTGAATGATCTCAGAGTTGATGCCAGGATTCTAGTCCAGGGAGGTCTGGAGTTCTTTCCCTGTAGAGGGCAGGATGGAAAATCTGAAGTATAATGATAATAAAAACCAGTCACTCATTCATTAGGAACTTTTAATTGAGTACCTCTTTTGTAGCAGATACGGCGCTCGGTAGAGCAAGAAACAGGCGGGGCCTTTGCCCTCACGGGACTCATAGGAGCCGGGAGACACATTAAACAACTAAGTAAACCAATGAATGAACAAAGAAAGTACTCTCAGATAATGGTGAGGGCTCTGAAGAAAATGTAACAGGGCATGGGGACCCGTGGGAGTGGATTTTAGGAAGAGTGGTCAGGAAAGTCTTCTCAGGAGGTGACATTGGAGCAGAGACCTGCATGAATGAGGGGATGAGCCCCAGAAAGTTTGGAGGGACATGGGGACAGCAGGAAAAGCAGTGCAAAGGCCCTGAGGCAGGTTCGTGCCCGGTGTGTTTGAGGTGCAGCAAGGAGCCCAGAGTGGCTGGAGCAGCACAAGTCAGTGGGAGAGGGTAGAAGTGAGCTCAGAGAGGTGGGCCAGGGGCCAGAGCAGGTAGGGCCAGGGAGGGGAGTTCTGATAGGATGTTAGATTTTAGCGTTGGAGGGTACTGCGCAAGGGAGAGCTATGATCAGATCTGTGCCTCTGTGTGGAGTGTTGGAAGAGAAGAGCAGAATAACAACTCTAGCTACCACTTACTGAGTGCCTGCTATGTGCCAGGCACAGGTTGTTATTAATACATTTCTCCTGGAGATCTGGGCTTCAAAGGACTGGGGTCCAGCTGCTGTGCACCCTTCCTCCATCTCCAGCTGCCTTTGCTGACTGCCGATTGCCACCTGCTACCTCATGTCCAGAGCCCTGCCAGGTGCCCTGGTCTCGGGCTGCACCTTGGGGTGTGGATTCGAGGGGTTAGACTTAAACCCAGCCCCAAAGGCCAGCATGATGTCACTTCATTCTCTGCTACAGTGTCGCCAGACGGGCAGGACAGACTGCTTTCTTTTGGGCTGGCCTCACCCAATTTCAGGTCTCCTTTCACCCTCCTGGCAGCAGAATGATGTCACCCAGAGAACAATGGTTCCTTTATAGATCTAGCCCGGGCCAAAGGCTGGGTCTCAGAGTAGGTGCCTCTGGGAGAGACCTGGAGTGAACGGAGGGGCAGAACAGAGGGCTCGGGTGCTCCACAGGGATCTGCTTTTGTTTAAATAATGTTAATCTCCTTTCCTCTCTCCCCAACCAAAAAAATAGGATGTGTTTAATATATACTTGGAACATACAGAAAAATGTAAAGAAAACAAAAC